AAAACTGCCTCCCCCCCCCAACACACACACATTAGCAGCAAGAGAATAAACTGTAGTACGTTCCCACACAATGTCTAACCACACGAATTTGGCCTGGTTTGTGAGTCAACTCCCACTGGCTGAATCTTTAAACACTGTCAAGCAGGCAGGTGCTGGGAGGGGTGGAGCCCTAAGGGAAACGCTTTCCTTCCAGAAGTTTGCACAGCTGGTGGCCAGGGCTATCAGTTGAACAAAGCAGCCCTCCAAGAGGGCACGCCAATGCCCACTGACTGTGCCTTCAGCTGTAGTTTTAAACCAGGGCTCAACTGAAAGCCCTGCTGAGCAACAGCAAAGATGATGCTTATATCTCAGGGTACTAGAACATACCCTGAGAAAACAAGAAGTCAGCTAGCTCTGTACACGTGGGTCCAGCAATGTCTGAAAACCATTCAGTATGTGCAGTGGTGTAGTGACCGGGGAATGCTGCTGTTGGATTTGTACCAGATCATTTTCTATTTACTTCTTTTTATTTATTTGAAAGAGAACAAAAGAAAGAGCCATGAGCCAGAAACCCCACCATGCTCTCCCACATGGGTGGAAGGGGTCCATGTATTTGTACCATCTTCTGCTGCTTTCCCAGGCATAATTGCAGGAAGCTAAATCTGAGGGTGAGCATCTGGGATTCAAACTGGTGCTACAATTAAGATGCTGGAGTTTCAGGTGGAGCCTTCCTGTGCTGAGCCACAACACCAGCCCCCTTGAAAAGTTTTTGTGTCTGGAGACAAATGTGTGGAAACATAAATTGGCTACAGTGAAGTGGTTATTGGTGAAGGAAACCAACACGCTCAGACCCAGAAACATCAGTGGCTTGGAATAACACACCAGGGCTGGAGTGTCCTCTGGAGAGTAATTATGCTGTTGACTAGCCATTGACCACTTTACATTAATTTCTTTCAGCTGTTGAAGTCTGCTGCACTTGGTATTCAAGTGGTCTTGATGTGGACTGTATTCACAGGTACAGAGTCACACACTCATGTTGTGGCACTGGCCAATGGTATCACCACAGCCAGAGGAAGGAAAGACTTTTGTCTGTCCATCTAAATTCCCAGTCTCATGTCACAAAACTGGTATCAACGTAACCTCGAAAATTGTGATCTTACTTCTCTTACTGCATCCTCCCTTGGTCTGATCTGCCTGCATTGTCCCTTCATTCTGAAAATGCTCCCCATCGCATGACTCCAAGCCTGCTCAAAGCCGACTTCAGGTGCCAATCTGAGCTTCCCTCTTCCTCCTTGTTCACTTATTTCCCAGGTTGTAGTTGCACCACTCGGATAGTTTCTGAAGTCAAAGCCTCTGTCAGTGCCACTATCTGCTTTTCCCGGAGGATTGGATTGGATCCCTTAGGTGGCTCTCCACCCACATTCATTGATTTTCACTTTAATCCATGCAACAAAGGATCATTAAAGAAAAAAAAATACTGAGCAGGGTGGGCACTAAGTCTAGCAGTTTTGAAGCCCATATCCTATTCATCAGAGGGCCTGCATTTGGTCTCCAGTTCCGGCTCCCGTGCTAGCTTCCAGGTAATGCACACCCTGAGAAATAGTGGTGGGGGAACAAGTGATTGGGCTCCTGACCCTCACATAGCAGACCTGGATTAAGGTCCTGGTTCTGTTTTGCCTTTGACTATTGTAAGCACTTGTGGAGTGGGCCAGACAGGACTTCTTGGCCTCCCTTCCCATGTTTTTCTCCCTCTGTCTCAACATTAAAAAATACTGATGCCATCATATCACATGCATTGATGTAGCTGAAAAATCAGGTACCCCTGCTCCGCTGTTCATTTCCAGCCAGCTCCGGCCTCTCCTCTGTAAGGATGCTCACCCCCCCCCCCAATAGCTACTTCCTTCTATAGATCAAAGGTTTCTTACCCAAGATCCTGCCCCCATCTCCACTTCTGCTGACTCCTATCAGTTCTTCAGTCTAGATAACCAAGGTAAGAGACTACAACATCTGATTTAGGACTGCCTTGATTTTCTCTTGCATAGCATCCTGGTTTTTGCTTTCCAAACATAGCCTCAGCTTTGTCAAGTGATAGAAAGCAATTTGTGTGATTACTTCTGCTGTGGCCACACAGCAGCTTCACTCATCATCACTGTTGACCTGGCCATCTGAATAGTCAGCACTGACCGAAGGATAGTGAACAAGCTGTGATAGCTAATGGGTTTCTATAAAATGACCCGTATGTCTTTTTGTTTTCTCTTGGCTCTGTTCTGGGAGAGAGTGCCCTTGCTTGGGCTGTTCTTGGTAAGAACCAATCCTGCAGAATGAAGCTCAAGTGATGGCGCAGGCTCACATGCACTTTCATTCTCGTGCCTCTGTCCATGTGGTCCTGAGGTCAGTGAGCTGGAATTTCAGCTGCAAGGTCAGGTCCTGGCCTCTGGTCATCCGTGTGGCTTAGTGAAGCCAGCCTTGAAAACCAGTCCTCCTCAGTGACTCTCTAGCACCAGTGTTTCTGATTTTAGAATGCCTGTGCTGAGTAACGTAGGCAGTATTTGCAAAGTTTTCACCCAAAATTAAAGATAGTCACAAATCAAATAGAGCTGTCACCATCTGGACATTCTATTGAGAAGATGACCAGGGGACATTAATCTCAAGTCAGGACTTGCAGAAGAGCTGTTGCATCTGTTCCTTTCCTGTCACCACCATTGTGTGGCTTGGGATATTCTATTGAGGGTATGCAAATGAGCCTAACACTAACCAGACAAACATACTACAGAACTGAAAGAGGGTTGTTGGTGAGAAATCTACACTGTAAATGTCTTGTGTGCTCCATACCAAGTACCATGCTGACTGTGATATGTTTTGCAGGATCATAACCCTGTGAGGTACAGTCCTGGGTAACTGACCCCCTCTTCCTGATGGAGGAAAATGAGCTTAGGATTTGTAAGTGACTGAGCTGAGATGTGAACTGTCTACCTGAATTTTTTTTTAAAACATTTGTTAGCTAGTTGGGAGACAGGGTTATAAAGAGAGACAGAGCAAGTAAGAGAGATTTTTCCATCCACTGGTTCACTCCCCAGATGACTGCAACAGCCAGGACTGGTTCAGGAGAAATCCAGGAGATTCATCAGGGTCTCTCATGTGGGTAGTAGGGACTCAAGCACTTGAGCATCTTCTGCTGCTTTTCACAGATCCATTAGCAGAGAGCTGGATCAGAAGTGGAGTTACCAGGACAGATGCTGCTGCCCATATGGGAAGCGAGCCTCACAGGTGGTGGTGACTTAACCCACTACATCACAACACCAGGTTCCCTTGCCTGGACCTGATCATACGCAAACTGTTTGGTGTGGTATCTGCTGGTTTGTTCACAGCAAAATAAACCAAGTTTGACTTATGTCATCATGCTAATGATATACATTTAGCTATCATTCGTAAATTTATTCGCTACAGAATGTTTGAGTCTCCCCTCTATACCAGTTTAGTATGCGGATTATGAGGCACATAGATGACAGAGCATGGATAGCTGGATTTATGCAACGTGATGTGGTCAGTGCCATAAGGGGAAGCCAGTGCTCCAAGACAGGCGTCACAGAGTAGAGATACGAGCTGATGCCCACAGACCAGGGATTTACCAAGCAGACAAGCAGGGGACAGAGAACGGGAGAGTTTTCCAGACAGACAGGTCCACATATGTCAACCCTGGAAGGCTCTCAGACCCTCAGCGTTATGAGTGAGTCAGCCCCAGAAGGTGCAGGAGCGGGGGACATTTCAAGAAAGGAAGCTGAGGAGTTCTCGGGTATGGGTCAGTGGCACCGAATATCAGTTCTACGTGTGGCTCTTGGAATTTTTACCTATCTTCACTTGTACTTGAAAGGTAGAGACAGAGAAGTATGGCACGATCACCCATCTAGTGGTTTGCTCCGCGAACAGTTACAACAGCCAGGACTGAACTCAATTCAGGTTTTCCACGTTAGTGCCAGGCAACCAAGGACTTGCGCCATCCTCTGCTGCTCTCTCAGGTGCATCAGCAGAAAATGGGATGAGGTGGAGCAGCTGAAACTCAAACGAATGCTCCCACATGGGATGCTGGTGTCCCAGTGAATGGCTTAACCCACTGCACCACAATCTTGTGCTGTGTCTGACACTGGCTTGCACAGAAACTCTCAGGTCTGCATGTCACAGGATCCTCCCACTTCCTAACCCTCAATCCTAGAGTGCCTTGCTCACACTGCCAAGTGAATTTCCATTTCATCTAATTTGACACTTTGGGGTCTGTTTTACAAATGGCCCACCCTAACTGGCAATCCATCATTGTGGCAAAGTGACAATTTATCCCACGCTGTTCTTTATTTTATACCAGCCCTAGTGACGGAACAAAGAGTGCTCACAAAGAGATGTCAAAAAGAATTTTAAGGGGATTTTAAAAAACGATTATATGTAAACATTTTTTCCTGTACTTAACTAAAGTCAGCTTTGCATATGTGCTCAAAGTCTGTGTCTGTAGTAGTTGGATAGGACTGCCCTTTGCTTTCTGTTTGTAGGATAAAGAATCAGTGAGAAGATTGCTGTTTCTCTGATTCTGAAAAGAAATTTTGATTAATATGTAATGCTTGCACATTTTTATGGGGTACAGGGTAATATTTCAACTTACACACAGGACATAAGCAGACCTGAACAAGTGATCTGCCTTCATATAGCATAGGACGCCCTGTTGTGAAACATACAAACCCCACTGTTCTATGGACTGTTTGTTTCTTTTAAAATTGATTTTTATACTTTGTAAAACAGAGGGATGAGTAGGGGAAGGGAGAAGAGAAGGAGAGAGGGAGTCAGAGAGATCCCAGGCCCTGGTTCATTTCCACTACACCTGGGACTGGCCAGGCCCAAGCCAGGAGCCAGGAACTTCAAGCTGTGTCTTAATGGCTATAACCAAACACCTGCCTCTTCTTTGATACCTTATGATCTTACATTTTATTACATTTTCCTAATTTTAACTTTTTCACAAAAGAATCCTTTCCTTCTTAGATATTTATAGGTTTTTATTTCTTATTTGGAGTTGAAGACTTCTCTACTTACACAAACATACTGCTTAATAAATTATGTAATCTTACAAATACCAACTTCAGAGTTCACATGCCAATAAAAAAAAGGAGCTCAAAGAAAATGAATAACCTATTTCTGTGAGTAGGCATCATGAATTTTGGAATAAAGCAGATTTTCAAAGATGTTCAGAAGTGACCTGCTTGGGGGTGAGGGGAATGGAGGGCTGACTATCTAATCACTCTCGGAGATGCCTTCTGTGCGTTTGTCTTCTTGATTTTGTACATTTTCTTCTCCCTCAGAGAAGCCCTGCCTCGGGGGCAGTGTTGGAGATACCGATTGCTGTGCTTGGGAGATTCTGCACATGGCACAGGCTCCTGGGAGCTCCGGAGCCACAGGCAGGGGGCATCCCCAGATGTTGCTCTTTCCGGTTCAAGGCACTTTTTAAAAAGCTGTGCTCTCTGTATCATGGGGTGTTGACCAAAAGGGAGGCTGCCCCCAAAAATGAGAGTTTATGTAAAACAAGTCCATTATCATCATCGTCATCATCATCTTGTCATCACTGTCATCATCCCAATGAACTGCCATTATAGAACTGGGACACAAAACCTCAAACTTTAATCGGTATATACTTGGAAAACACAACACTAGTAAAAAGAAACTCTTTTTCTTTTATAAGCGAATAATCCAGTTATTTTTAAAGCATTACCTAAGCCTTTTAAGACTCCTCTTTTTTTTTCATAGTGTTCACTTTCAAAAAAAATTGTAGTTTCATCTCCATCCTTTCCATGTTTGTCCTACATGGCTTAAAATGACTGTGCCTGAAAAATGCATTACTGCTTGTTGGCAATGTAGATGACCTTGTGCTTCTCGATGACCCCAATGTCATGCTCCAGCTGCTTCATCTCCTCTTCCAGCTTCTGCTTGCGTACTTTCTTGGGGATGGAGTCGATGAAGACCGAGAACGACTGGAACTCTTTGTGCACCTCCTCCCAGTTCTTCTTTAGGCCCTGCAAACCAGGAGGGGCAGCTATGAGTACCAACAGGTGCCGACATCTGGTCAATGGGAATAGGACATTGTGCTCATTAACAAGATGCTAACCCACGAGGAGAACGGTAAAATCACATGCATGCTAAAACCACCAAATGTACCAGGATGGTGGTAGCTTCATGCCATTTGGCTGTCTCAAGGTACAGCCTCAAGGTGGTGACCGGATTGGATGGTGCCACTGTGGTGGAGGCCGCCACAAACATCCTCCTGGCTTTCTAAGAGACCACCCAGAGCCAAGGGCACATGCTCCCTTTTGCCATGGGACAGGCTACAACCTCCCAGCTCTACCAGCAAAATATCACCTCCAGAAGTCAAACCAGTGGAGTTGTTGGATCTTGGACTGTGAACCTCCGGAGTGATAATCCATAGTAAACCTCCCTGAAGATATGCATCTACCATTTATTAAGTATTGCCCTAACTGTGGGCTCAGCTTCCACAGGAAGCGCTTATTTGCTGGTTTTTTTGTTTATTTTGTTTTGTTTTATTTTATTTTTTTACCATGAAATACTCACATGTGGAGTTATGAATACTATGACAGTAAGCTTTGTCAAATACTTTGGAGGAAGGATATTGACATAAAATTGAGATTCCTTACATTTAAAAAAATTGAATAAGAAATTACTTCTGGGTCTGGCACAATGGTATAACTGGCTAATTCTCTGCCTGCAAGCACCAGCACTCCATATTGGCTGCCAGTTCATGTCCTGGCCACTCCACTTCCCATCCAGCTCCCTTCTTGTGGCCTGGGAAAGCAGTGGAAGGTGACGCAAAGCCTTGGGAGCCTGCCCTTGTGTGGAAGACCTTGAAGAAACTCTTGGTTCCTGGCTTCAGATCAGCTCAGTGCAGGCTGTTGCAGCCACTTGAGGAGTGAACCTGTGGATGGAAGACTTCTCCCTCTGTCTTTCCTTCTCAATAAAAATTGGTCTTTCAAATAAAAATAAATCTTAAAAATTATTTTTATAAAGATTTTACTACTTTTCTTTTGAAAATTTTGTCATCTTTTTCTTAAAAAGCATCTTAAAAATTTATTTGAAGAAAGAGTTACAGAGAGAGAGGGTGAGATGGAGACAGAGATGAAGATCTGTCCACTGGTTCATTCTCCAGATGGCCCCATCAGCTGAGGCTGTGCCAGGTGGAGAGCAGGGGTCCAAGCATTTGGGCCAATCCTCTCCTGCTTTCCCAGGCTATCAGCAGGGAACTGGATCAGAAGTGGAGCAGTTGGGACTTTAACCAGCCTCCTGTTATAGGGACCTCATTTCAAAAGACTTGATTGAGAATTGCTATGATCGGGTGTTGTGATGTTTGATGAAATCGGAATGTTAGCAAGTTTCCCATCACAGTGTGCTGGGGGCTCCACCAACAACATGCTCTTATGCTAGTTACTCATGACATCTATTCAATGAATTGTTTTGAGGGGTAGAGGGAGAAAGAGACACAGCCCCCTTGGGTGGTAGGACCAAATTATTTGAGCCATAAGAGCTGCCTCCCGAGGTCTGCTATGCCAGGAACTGGAATTAGGAACTGAGATTTAAAACCCGGTACCGTAATAAGGGATGGAGCTATCCTAAAAGGATGATTTAACTCCTAGACCAAAGGCTTATCCCTCCCTCCAAATTTTATAAATGAACATTCTTGCTATCCATTATAGCTGTAGAAATTATTTGATTTATACAGAAACAAAGAGCAAAACAGAGGGGCAGGCATTTGGTACAGCAGTTAAGGTGTCACTTGGAGGAACAGTGCATTAAGCCCCTACCTGTGATACTGGTATAACCTATCAGAGCACCAGTTCAAGTTCTGGCCACTCCACTTCCCATCCAACTCCCTACTAATGTGCCGGGGGAAATAATTGAAGATGGTTCAAAAGCTTGAGTCCCTGCCACCCAAGTGGGAGATCCAATCAGAATTCCTATATTCTGGCTTTAACTTGGCCCAGCTCCAGCCATTTGGAAAGTAAGCCAGTGGATGGAAGATATCTTTCTCTGTATCTCCTCCTCTCTCTTTAGCTCTACTTATCAATTCAATAAGATGCATCTTTATTGTTTTAAAAGATGTTACTTGGAACACCTGTATTCTGTATCTGGATGGGATTAGAATGGCCTCTGCCCCTGATTCCACCTCTCTGCTAATGCTCCTGGGACGGCAGCAGAAGATGGCCCAAGTAGTTGGGCCCCTGCAGCATGTGGGAGACCTAGATGGAGTTTGTGGCTCCTAGCTTTGGCCTAGTCCTAGCCCCAGCTGTTGCAAACAACTTGGGAAGTGAAACAGCAGATGAAAATCTTCTTTCTCCTTCTCTATCCCTTTGCCTTTCAAACAAACCCCCCCCTTTTTTTTTAATGAAAGGGAAGAAAGATGACAGTTCTTAAAAGTCTATGTAACATATTTCAAAAAGAAGCCCTCTCCATGCCTGTGATCTCTCTTTAGGTAGCAGACCTGTGCTTCTGTGTTTCTGCAGTGCCTGGTAGGGGTGCCTGCCCACGGAGGATGTCTGTATACCCACGGGCTTTGAACTATCAGAGGTTTGCACAGCCAGAGGGGTGATACTTCCTTATGCCTGGTAGTCCCAGCAGCTGTCTGCTTCTCTTTCCTTTGAAAAGAAAGCTGGCTTTTATCTTCCAGTTGGACAATAATGTTTGCATCAAAGCCGGCAGCTAGGGCTAGAAACTAAATGTAAGTCATGCTTCACAGGATTTTCATGTGGCCTCCTTGTTATGGCATTTTGGGGTTTGTTTTTGGTTATTTCATCTTTTTTTTTAAGATTTCTTTTTTTTTTTTTAATTTGAAAGGCAGAATTACAGAGAGAGGGAGAGAAAGAGACAGAGATCTTCCATCTGCTGTTTCACCCCCCAAATGGCTGCAGCAGCTAGAGCTAAGCCAACCCAAAGTCAGGAAACAAGAGCTTCTTCCAGGGCTCCCATATGGGTTCTCTGTTACTATTTTCCTAGGCCATTCTGAATTAGAAGTGGAGTAGCTGGGATATGAATTAGTACCCATATGGGGCTTAGACTGCTGTGCCACTTTGCTCCTGGTTATTTCATCTTAATAAAAGGTCTTATATCCATTGCAGTAATAGTGATTCCCTCACCCTTTTTTCTCTTTTAAATTTCTTCATTCTTCTATTTTAGCACTGAAACAATGATGTGATAATTTAGGCAATAGTTCAGATGGGGAGGAGTGGTGCTGTCAGGAGAAGTTTTTTAGTTTCACCCATCTTTTGCACCCACTGCACCTCCCACCCGGGGTGGGGAGTGGGTGAGCTCTGGGTTTGATGCTCTCTGGCTTCTGAGTTCATCCCAGGGTGCACTGGTAGGACAGGTGAGAGGCTGGGATGTTCTCCACCTCTCACTTGACCCTGTCTGGCCACATGCTCCAGCTGCTTCCATCTGTGCCCATGGCTCCTTCTCCAGGCTCTGGCAGCTCCCCTGCTCCCCTCTCTTCTACTCAAGCCTCAGTGGAAATTGGGTTCCTGGCCCCCACTTGGCTCTGTTGTTTCTGCCCTTGAGAATCTCAGTTGAGGTGGCCTCCTCTTCCAGTGGCAGGTGGTGTGGGCACACGGCCTTCGCCTGGTTCTCCTATGCAGGCAGGCGGCCAGGTGGCCGGGCAGCCCAGCACAGGGAGTGATCAGGATGAGTTTTGGTCACTGTGGCTCTACTCCATCGCTTGGTGACTGAGAGCGAGTGTAACCCGAACTCGACACTTGGGTGCGGTAAGGGACTATGTGTTTCACAATATCTTTTTTCCTCTTCAGGGTCTAGGATGTCAGGGTTGCCCTATCAATTGGTAAACAAATGATGCCTCAACAGGTGAGCCCACTTCACTCCACCTGCAGGTTCTCCATCCTGGTCTGCAGCATGAGAAGTTTAGCATCACCAGACTGTGATCTCCCTCCAGATACAATGATCCTGTTTTCCTCTGGAGTTAGGAACACCAGTGTGGCTTTGATGGGGACAGATAACCATGTTGTCATCCTATTGCATCCAGCTCTTACCCAGTAGGGACTGTGGCTGGGGGTTCCTTCTCTGAGGGCATCTAATGCAGAAGTCTGGAGGATCCCATCAGAGGGCCGTCTGGGGTGACAGCACCTTGCAGCCAGTGTTCAGATACACAGCCTGGCATGCACAGAAGCCTGCACTTTTGGAAGGTGGGAGCTGCTGAATTCAAGAGGCAGGGTGTGCAGAGGGCCAGCTCTCTCCCTTGCAGACAGCTGACTGGTGGAATCTCCCATCTCTGTAAGTCTTGCTTCTTGCCTGCCCATCTTTTTCTTCCTTTCCCTGGAGCCCCTGCACCTGCACTGCACCCCACGAGCCACTGCGACCCACCAAAAAGAGATGGTCCCTGTCCTTAAGTGTTTCTTGCTGTCAGAGACTGCCTCTCTGTACTTTCAGAGTCCAACGGGTTCTTGTTTATTCAAAAATATGATATCTGGTTTCCATGCAAGGATTGGACAGAGAGATGGGGTGGGGGAGGGGAGATACAGGGTTGTGCTAGAAACAGTTTAATTATTCTAGAGCTCCATCTAGTGAGTGAGAGACATAAGATTTAGGGGATTGTTCTTCACTAACTCCAGGGGCATGGATGGGGATGAAAACACCCTTTTTTTCAGTCTTTCTGGTGCCTGTGTGTTGTGAAAAAATTTGGGCTTCTGCAAGGAAAAACACAAGCTCACCCTAAAGCTGAAAATCAGACGGGTCCCTCTGTGTCAGCTTTGGTTCTCTCTCAGAGGCCAGCTCTGCTGTGTGGTCTGCCACTGCCAACCCAAGCATGCAGCTGATTCCAGAACCAAAGCAATCAGATAACAGGAGACCTGAGTGGACGCCCCCTCCCACCCTACCCCCTCCGCCAGGTGTGTCCTCCCCTGACCCCCAGAGTCCCATGTGAGTGTGGATAGCGGGAACACTCACCTGCAGAATTGCCTCTCTCTCCTCATCCGACAGCCTCTTCATCGCTGCTTTCCTAAGGTTTTCCTGGATGTAGCGGTCGTACTCTTCCTGGGCCTGCCTGACTTCCTCGTTTCGCATACAAATGTACTTGGGAGTGACTCCGTAATCCTGGAAGGAGTTTGCAGAGAGAAAGGAGGTCAAGTCACTGTCCTGAAGGAAAGCTTGTGAATGGGTATAGACGACCAATCAGTGACTGGGAGGCAAATGAAGGCCGCCCTGAGAATCTTTGGTCTGAATTTAGGAAACTGACAAAATTCTATGCTTTTCAATCACCACATCCTCAACTGAGAACTTGTTGATTCTGTTGTTTTAAACGGAGCCAGGGCCAGCATTATGGTGCCAGTGGGTTGAGCCACTGTTTGGGATGCTGTCACTTCATATTGGAGTGCTGGTTGGTGTCCTGGCTGCTCCACTTCCATCCAGCCAGCTCCCTGTTGATGTAACTGAGAAGGCAGCAGAGGATGATCCAAGTGCTTGGAGCCCCTGCCACCCATTGGGAGACCCTGATGGAGTTCTGGGCTCCTGGTTTCTGCCCAACTTAGTCCCAGCTGTTGTTGCCATTTGCGGAGTGAACCAATGAATGGAAGGTCTCTCTGTCTCTCTCCTTCTATGCCTTTCAAAAAATCATTAAAAAAAACCCCAAACAAACACCCTGAATTGTTATTACAGCCTCTTGCTTTCCCTCTTCTGGAAACTTTCAGCTCTTACTCTTGGTTGATGATACGGCTGTTATCTTCCTTGACCCCTGCGGTTTTTTGTGCTTCAACAATTACCTTAAAATAGCTTAAGATAATTTCTTTTAAAAAATATTTATTTATCTGAAAGAGTGACAAAGAAAGACATAAAGAGATTTTCCATCCTCTGTTTCACTTCCCAAATAGTCCCAATGGCTGGCACTGGGCCAGGCCAAAGCTCGGAGCCAGGGACTCCATCCAAGTCTCCCACACGGGTGGCAAGGGCCCAATCACTTGGGCCATTATCTGTTGCTTTACTGGTGTATTAACAGGGAGCTGGATGAGAAATAGAGCAGCTGGGACTCAAACCAGTGGAGCAATTGGCCATGGATTCTTCCAGATTAGTGAATGTACTGCTTGCCCTGTCTAAAGATGCATTTGTAGGCACACTGGGGGCCTAGCATGAGGGAGAAAGGTTAAGTTTTGGTGCCTGTGGAGTTTGCAGCTTATGGTTTAAGAGAAACTCACCAAAACATGGCAGAATTCAGAGAAGAAATGGGGGAAGGAGATAGGAGGGGCTGCTCTGTATCATGAAGGAAGTCGGGAAGTGTTTGGTGAGGAAGCAGCAGGGTGGTCTGGCACAGAAGCCAGAAGAAGTATCCAAGACACAGGCTCTGGGTCCTCCCACCTGGACATTTGGGAGAGCAACGTTTTCCTGCTGCCCTGCTGTGTGCTCTCCGTGTGTGTGTTAATTTCCTGTTTCTGTAAACAACACACCTGACACAGGCCACGTGGGCAATAGAGAGAGGTTTGTTTAGTACACAGTTCTAGTTCAAGTCCAGAATCGTCAAACCCTATTTGTGTGTCCTGCAATGGGGTCAGCCAGAAGCAATGGCCAGAGGCATGTGAGGAGTGGCTGGCTGTACCTTGAGTTAGGGTGCAGAAAGAATAGCTGGGCCCAAACCCCACCTCCTCCAGGCTCTTCCACTGCTGATTCACGCCACCTTGGGAAGCAGACTTTTGACACATGGATCCTGCTGGGACAGTCCACACCCAAACCATCTGCCCCTCTCCTTTGCCCATGGGTTGCTTCCAAATAGAAGCCTGAAGATTCTTCCTGTATATGATTGAACAAACAACAAGATTCTGTACTCTTTGAATCTCAGAAGGATAACAGAAGCAGGATGCTGACTGCCCTCCACCGGCCTGTGGCACATTAGGCCAGAGAAGGTAGTTCCTTTATAACCTACGGCCTGCAGAGTGAAAGAGGCATGGGAATCCCAGATGTCAAAGTGTTTGGGGAAGTAGCAGAACCTTCTGCAGTATGACCACGAGTGTAGTGGTGAACAGGCCACCTGCCAGCACACACCTCTCAGGGCATCCTTGTACAGTGGACAGGACAACTGGGAGTGTTAAAGAGAGGATGTTGAGTTGGGCAAACTCTGTGTGAGGAAGGGAATGGCAGAACCCACGCTTAAGATGAAAACTTGCAAAAGGCAGGTGTTTTCCTGTGGGTTGGATTGTGGAGTGGGATGTTTGGTGTTGACCTGAGCAAGGCAAATGACCTGAAGGCAGGTGGACGACTAGACAACAGACCCAGTGACCGCGTGCCCAGCCCTCTGACCTCACTGGGCACTGGTTCTCCCAGTAGCAGATGGCAGCGCTACCTTTTTGTTGATATACTTGGGGAGGAGTCCCGAGGTCTCCAAGTCATGCCTGTCCCCAGTTCTCTTGTCCACGTAGACGGGCTTGGGCTTCTTGGCCACGCCCATGATGACATCGGCCGCGTTGGTATTGATGAAATTCTTGCCGCTCTGTATGCCCATGATTGGGTGGTCGGTCCTTGCTGGCACCGCGGGCTTTCTGGGCTCATTCCATTCAAACTTCTTCTCTGTGAAACGTAACATTTCCTTGTCACTGTTACACAAGCAACATTGCTGCTCGGCACTTCTTAAAGTATCTGGATACCTTGCCACTCATAAGTTGAAAGTTTTATTGATGATATATCCATGCACATAAGGTAAAAACAAGTTTCTACTTATCAAGCTATCAGACACAAGCATCATTTCCCATGTCAATCACAACTCAGTTAAAGCAGTTTGGAAAAAGGAAAAAAATCAGTAATTACAATGCTAAAAAGAATTAAGCAGTTAATCAATGAATGTGCTGGAAAATAGTACAGATGTTGGAAGGAGAAGGCTGAGCCTTCCCCAAATTATATGCTAGCTAATGCATGCACATTTTTGCTGCGTATCAACAACAGATACTCAGATATCCCATTTAAGATAACTGTAAGTAAGAAGTGACAAAGCAGTTTTGTGTGTGTGCTATAAGTATTTCCCAATAATTGCTTCTTCACAGGAAAATTATTTTTTAAAAGTAAATAAACCAAACTTGATGTATTGAAAGTACAAGAATTTACATGGAAAGTATAAGTTTTTAAGAAAAAAAATCACATAACAGCAGTAAGACCAATAAACAGCCTAACAGAGCAAACATCAGCAGCAATACAGTAGTGAGTGTTTAGTGTGTAAGACACCCAAGTCTCAAATTGCAGTACCTGGGTTCAATATCTGGCCCTGGTTCATGCCTCCAGCTTCTGGCCAGTGCAGACCCTGGGAAGCAGTGCCGATGGCTTACTGGCCTGTTGCCATCCATGTCAGGGAGACCTGGCTTGAGTTTCTGCTTCCTGGCTTTGGTCCTAAGCAACCCAACTTCAACTTTTGCAGACTTTTAGAGAGTGAACCAGCAGATGGGAACTCTGACTCTTCTTCTCTGTTTTTCTTACCATTAGGAGTTCAAATTGGTTAATAATTTCTCCTCTGGTTGTATGTCATCTCCTGAAGTTACCACCAGAAAAAGTGTACTTATTTCTTTCTCTAGCCTGTGTTAGCTTTACATTAATGCAACAGATGGAATGGGCCCCTTCTACATAGATGCTTCAGCTCGGCCATTCCAACCTCTCTGTTTGTAAAGAACCACATCATAGTGGCTCATCGAATGCTAAAACTAAACTTCATCTCCAAGAACCAAAGCAACCCATGGCTCTCTTGACTTGGACTTACTCCAATCTTAACTCTCACAATCCTCCAGGGACTCTGTCTTCATTCATTTCTTCATTGTCTTGTCTTTGCACAAGTGGATATATCTTTTATTACCAGGTAAAATTACGTATATTATTAACTATCCAGGGACTGAGTTAGCCTCTTATTAGGGACTGAGCTCGGTTTCTGCAGAATTCTTAGGATGAAGTTCTTACCTTAGTATGCCAGAATGGGTCTGCATTTGGGAAACGAGGGTGTTTAAACAAATGATTAAATTTAAGTGAGATCCTTGGGGTTGCCTCTAATCCTACATGCTCAGAACCCTCAGAGAATGAAACGTGGACACAAACATAAAAGGAGGCTACATGATGAAGCACGGGGAAATCCTATCCTCTACAAGCCAAGGAAAGGAGCCTCAGAAAAAAACAGCTGGCCCATACCTTGTAGCCTACAAAATAGTGTCTCACTGGACTAGGGTCTGGAGGCTACACCCTGAATTTCTTAATGGTTCTCAAGGCCAGTGGGGTCTTAATTCTTGCCTTGTGATGTTTGCATGGGGAGATACAGAGTTCGTCTTGCCTTTCCTTCTTTGATAAATAGGATTTGTACGTTGGGTAGTTGTGATATCTTCATATACCTAACCCTGGGGAACTTACACCCAAGGGATACCACCAGTCCTAAGACATTGAAGGTACTTAATTCATTTAAGACTGTCCAGAGCTCTGAGGTGGGTGAGAGTCACAAAATGAGAAGAGATAGGTGAGTCACAGATTAAGAATGGATACTGGATTTTCTTTCTTTTTGGACAAAACCACATTTTGCTACTTAATTAATGGAGTTATTTGAGAGGCAGAGAGACAAGAGTTGGAGCTGCTATTTGTTGACTCATGTCCCAAAAGACTGCAGGGGCTAGAACTAGGCCAAGCTGATTCAGGCCAAGCTGAATCTCCCATGTATGGCAGGAACCCAATGACTTCAGCCAGACTTACTACCTCTTACTTACTTCAGCAGAGAGCTGACCCAGAACTCAAACCTAGACACTCTGGTGGAGGAGTAAGCTATCCTAATTGACATCTGAGCCATTATGCCAAGCACCCGCCCAAAAGACTGGTTTTAAACTTGGGTCTTCCTTTTTTCCTGAGAATGTTCCTCACTATTTGTCATGGGGTTATTATTTTTTTTTACGAGTTATTTACTTTTATTGTAAAGATTTATTTATTTTATTTTTTAAGGTTTACTTAATCTTACACAGATCTTCTGTCTGCTGGTTCACTTCCCAAGTGTCTGCAATGACCGGAGCTGAGCTGATCCAAAAGGCTAGGAGACAGGAGTTTCCTCTGGGTCTCCCATGTGAGTGCAGGGTCCCAAGGCTTTAGACCATTGTCCAATGCTTTTCCAGGCCACAAGCAGGGAGCTGGTTGGGAAGTGGAGTGACTAGGACAAGAACTGGTGCCCACATGGGATTCCAGAGCTTGCAAGGCGAGGATTTAGTCACTGAGCCACCCAGGGTATGTGTTGTGTGACAGATTCAAACTATGGCCAGAAGCAGAAGTCACTTCAGTTTGGTCAATGTGTGAGGTTTTGGCGTAATTTCCTTGAGGATAGCCAACACTATATATGAACAGCTGCCTTTTTGCCTTTGTCTTAAGATGGGAAGAATTTCCTTCCATGCATGGTTGGTTGTAAATCCTTCTTCATTCCTTCAGGCCTTCCTTTCCTACCATCAATACAATCTATGGCCAGAACCAATAACAGCATTTTTAAGGGCTAGTACAAAATGAAAATGCAAAATGACCTCTTGATCCAAACCAATTCAGAATTTCAAGATGGCAAGAGCAGACCTTTAGGCCAAACACAAACTCCCTCCAAGTGTGCAGCTGTGTGCAATGGTGCTGGTAATTGACCTGTGTGCCTGGCTCTGTCCACCCCTTCTCAGTGAACCCCAATTCCCCCTCTTTCTGGATGTGTTTCATGGATGGAGAAATCTGGGAGAGCAGAAGCTCAAACCTGCAGTGGAGCCTTATATGTCTCAACAACTGGTAACAATGGCAGTAAATTTCACCCCTTGGAAATAAGATTAGGCAGGGGTGGGGTGCGAGGCGTCCTTGCCTGTGAATCAGACAGTCTGGATATTAAAACTCTTCTTCTATCTGGTACTCAGAGCTGGAGTCTGAGGGTGGGGGATTGAGCTGGCGAGATGTATCACACAGGAGCATGGCAGCACTGGCTAATACAAAATGCAGTTCTAGACTTTCTTCCTCAAAGTGTATTTGGGGGAAGCTCATCGCTCTCAAATACCGGTTCTTACTACATTTTCAGCTCCCACCTCGTCCTATCCACCCTTCATTCTGTTAAATCAGCAGGTGACGTTGCTATCACCTCTGTATAGTTTATATTTACTGACAATAAAGTCATCTTTTAAAATTACCACCTGATTTAAATTACCTAAATTATCTCCTTAAAAAATGATTGAAAAAAAAAAAACCTACTGGGTGGCAGAGTTTTTTCCTTGGAGTGTTTCTTGAGGAAATCCTTTGGGGACGGTACGTCCACTTTAGCTGGTCCCATAGTTTTCATGGATGCTTTGTATTTTTGTAGGTCATTTTTTACGGCTGCCTTAAAAATGGATATGTACCTAAAATGAAAGAAATGGTAGCTGTTTATGTTTCTGGTAAAAACTGAAATTCAAAAACAGGTGTACATTTCTCACTCACTGGAGTGTGTATTCTTATGCAGAAGGTTGGAACAGCTCATTTATCTGAGCCCGGTCCACTAGGTTGACCCAAGTTGCGTGGTCACTGTGCACTGGGACAGGTGCTGAGGAAGGGGGGTTGGCCATATTTCATTACTGCCCTTTGAACATCGGCAGCGCCATGAGTGATGTCACTTCTCTCATTCCCAACATTCTGGTTAGGAGGTTATCTGTTTTGTTCATCTTTTTTTTTTTTTTAAGATTTATTTATTTATTGGAAAGTCAGATATACAGAGAGGAAGATCTTCCGTCCGATGATTCACTCCCCAAGTGAGTGCAATGCCGGTGCTATGCCGATCTGAAGCCAGGATCCAGAAACTTCTTCCGGGTCTCCCACATGGGTGCAGGGTCCCAAGGCTTTGGGACATCCTCGACTGCTTTCCCAGGCCACAAGCACGGAGCTGGATGGAAAGTGGATTAGAACCGGCGCCCATATGGGATCCTGGGGTGCGTTCAAGGCGAGGACTTTAGCCGCTAGGCCACGCTGCTAGGCCCTTTGTTCATCTTTTCATAGAACTAGAATTTTATAAGTTTTCTCCAACACTCATCTGTTTTCTAGGTTCATGCTATATCTATGTTGATTTTCATTTCTTCTCCTTTGAGTTCATTTTATTCTCATTTTCTTTTGCATTTGTATTTGCTTTTAAATTTCTGTTTTTCTAAATACATACTTAAAACTAAAAAAATTCTAATGTGCACGTTGGTTTTTGCCCACCACTTTCGATTTACTATGTCTCATTCAGTCCAAAATGCCTTTTCAATTGCATTTTGAGAGGCAGGTCTTGTGGCACAGCTAGGTTAAGCCACCACCTACAAATACCAGCATTCCATAGAAATGCCAGCTCAAGGTCCAGTTGCTCCATTTCCTATCTGTATCCCTTACACTGCCCCTGGGGAAACAGCAGAAGCTTGGATGACTGCCATCCATGTGGGAGACCTGGAGAGAGTTCCTGGTTCTGGGGTTTAGTCTGCCCCAAGCCCTGACATCAAGGATGTATATAGAGAGATTTCTTTCTGCCTTTCCCTTTCTCTGTAACTCTGCCTTTCAAATAGAATAATTACTTTTTAAAATTTTATTTTGATATCTGCTCTCACAAGTTTATCTAACCATGTTTGTGTAGTGGTGATTTTTCTATATTTCTTTTTGATTTATTTCCATGAGGTTAGGGAATATACTTTGCATGTCTAGAATCATTTTAAATTTTTGGACATTTGTTTTAATGGCACAGGATATGATCTTATTTTGTTAAAGGGTGAGAATGAAGCATATTCTGCTGCTGTTGGCCAGACTGCTCTGAAAGTGACAATTTGATGAAATGGGCTGATCATTTTCAAATGTTCTAGATCCTTAATTATTTTGTTGGATCTATAAATTATTGAAATACAGCTGTTGAGACCTCTGAGTGTAATTGTGGATTTGGCTATTTGTTCTAAGTCAAAGGGTGTTTTGGTTTATGTATTTCCAATCTCTGTTACTAGGCACACAGAACTAACAATTTTTCTATCTCCTTTAAATCTGGCCACTTCATCCTTATAAAATGAAACTATTTCCTTTAAATTCCATACTTTAAAATCTGTGTGATACTAGCACAGCCATTCCAGCATTCCTCTAAGTTGTGATGACATATCTTCTATTCTTGGCCTTTCGACCTGTGGGGTTTTTTTTTTTGTTGTTGTTATAAGAGAGGTTTTCCTTATAGATAATTGTGAAATTTTATCAAATCAGCTATCACTTTTAGTTTCCATGTTCATATTATTCACACAGAATGTGTTTTTTAGCATAAATTTACATTTAATGTTCTCATCTTTTTGTTGACTACAAAGCACATAGCTCATTTTATTTTGATCCAGCTTTGCCTTTTGTTTTGCTTTATAGAAATTCTAGTTTTACGGTACACATGTTTACGGTACACATGCTTACAGTACACATGTTTAATTTATTACATGTTTAATTTATTATCTTCAAGTAATAACTACTTCACTTCAGGTATGGCCTAAGAACCTTGCATGAGAATGCTTGCCTCTGTCCTAATGTTATTACATATGCTATATCTCGATGTACATAAAACCCACAATACAGGCCCGGCGCGGTGGCGCAGTGGTTAAGGTCCTCGCCTTGCACGCCCGGGATCCCATATGGGCGCTGGTTCTAATCCCGGCAGCCCCTCTTCCCTTCCAGCTCCCTGCCTGTGGCCCGGGAAAGCAGTCGAGGACGGCCCAAAGCTTTGGGACCCTGCACCCGCGTGGGAGACCTGGAAGAGGCTCCTGGCTTCAGATCGGCATAGAACCGGCCGTTGCGCTCACTTGGGGAGTGAATCATTGGATGGAAGATCTTCCTCTCTGTCTCTGCTCTCTGTATATCCGTCTTTCCAATAAAAAAAAAAAAATCTTTAAAAAAAAAGATTAAAAAAAAATAAAACCCACAATACATCAGGATTATTTGCCCTTTATATATAACAAGCTACATATTAAAGACATTTGAAACTATTTATCATTTACCTACTTTTTAAAAGTTATTATTTCCAGGCCTTAATCCTTCTGGTGAATTCAAATTTCCTTTGGTGCCATCCCTTCCACGTAAATGATTTTTTTTTAAAAAAAGAGACTATTAACATATGAAGGGTAAAGTGACAGGAGAGAGACAGAGATTTTTCATTCATCAGTTCACTCCTTAAATGCCAGCAATGGTCAAGGTTGGGCCAGATGAAGGCCAGAGGCCAGGCACTCCATTAAGGTCATTCCCCTGTTGAGGGCAGAAGCTCAAATACCTGAGCCATCATCTGTGGCTCCAAGGAAGAATCAGCAGGAAGCTGCATGGGAAGAGAAGGAGTCGTGATTCAAACCAGATCCTCCCTTTGGGATGTGAGTGTCCTACGGGCAGCTTACCCGGATGACCCCCAATCCCTGCACCACACTAAAAGGGCTTTGTAAGCTGCTTCTTGCTAGCGTTTCCTAGAGAAATGCACTGTTCTTTCCTCTCCTGTGTGAAACAATACCTGGTTTGTAAAAGACATGGGCATCATCAGTTCAAGGCTGGGCTGCTTCACTTCCAATTCAGCTCCCTGCTAATGCACCTGGGAAAGCAGAAGGGGATGGCTCAAGTTCCTGGATCTGTGCTACCCACGTGGCAGACCCAGGTGAAGCTCCTGGTTCAGGCCTGGACCTGGCCCAGCTCCAACCACTGTGGCCATCCAGTGGAGGGAAAAACACTCTTTCTGCCTTTCAAATAAACAAATAAATAATCAAACGAACAAACAAACAATAAAGACAGCAGTGAATACCTGAAACCAAACACCAGGTCTCCTAACACAGGGTCATAAAACTGCGATCTTTTTCAAACAACACGGAGTTTCACCGCACCCTGCGGTGAACAGTAATTTCAACAAAACACATGAATAGCAAGGCTACGCATAAGTTATCTCAGGGTCATCTAGGAGATGCCAAGCCCCTAGAATCCCCACCCCTGCTAAGAATCTGGCTTCACAGGTGACTTTAGCGGGGGCCAAATGCTATTTCATTCAAACAACCCTGTGAGAAGGATGTGAGGTCCCAAGGATGAGCAGGAGGTCCTTAGTCCCTGTTCTCGCGGCCAGGGCTCCAGGCTCTGCTTCTCCACCTACCTAGGAGGCGGGGCGGGTTCCTTCAGGTCCCTGGGGATGAGATTATAAATGCTCTCGGCAGAGCACGCTGCATCCATGGCCACCTGATGGCCCCTCAGAAACGACCTCCTCGCCCAACTTCTCTCTTCACGCTTCCGGCGTCTCCGCCACCGCTTCCCCTTCTTTCTCCTGCTCTAGTGCCTTCTTTCGGTCTCTCCTGGCACACAGCCCCGACCGCTTCTCCAAGCGGGTAGCTTTCCTCGCCGTCTTGGATGCCTCAGCGTTGTTGTGGACGCCAGGTCTCCGTGGAAACGGTTGCTAGGCGACAGGAGAGGGGAGGAGCCCGAGCGGCTTGAACATGAGGGGGGGTCACGTGGTAGGCGTTTGGCCGCTAGCGGCGCGCAGGACGGCGTCGGGTCCGCGCAGGCGCAGTGGGCCCCGCGCCGGGCCCGAGGTGGCTTTCGGGCTCTGGCTGCGTGAGGCGGCCCTGGCATTTTCGGGGAATGTCGCTTCTCCGTGATCTCCACTAGTTTCCCCGTCTCCTCAGGGGTTTTATCTTGGTGAGTTACAGGAGGAGAAGGAAAAAGAACGGCTCGAAGGCAGGCTGCCCCCCTCGCGGGCCTTTCCCTCCGTGACTCCTCCCAGACGCCGCCCGGTTGTAACCGGGGTCCGCAGTCCGGCCCCCTCGTTGTGTCCCCCGGCCATCGGAGGTCCGTGTAGCCCTGCCCGCCGCTTCCAGGTCTTCCTCCCCGAACATGGACCCTCCCTCTCCCTTCCGAAAACCTTATTTTTAGAGGTCTATTGCTTTTTGGGAGTATCCTTTGGGGAGTTTTTCCTTCTGAGCAGCGGATTGTTTCCGTTTTGTTGGAACCGTTTGCTCACCCTGTGTATTTGTGCATGGCCATGTGAGGGCTGAAATCCTTAGCCTCAAAAGACGTTTTGGGGTCGCGTTGAGTAAGGAAACTGGGGGTGGCTCTGCATCCACCCCCGCTCCCCGGAGGCGCGGACTCAGGCTAGGCTTCTGGCTGCCCGGTGCCGGGCTGGACCGCATGGCAACTTGGCGCCGAACCCTTTGGTTCTTGCCCAAAAAGCTTTGCTGAGTGGCAGGTGGAACCCTGTCAGCGGCCCTTGTGGAATTTCATGAGGCAGGAAGGAGGCAAGTCTGGTGCTTTCTTGGCCAGTTTGATCAGATGTTTGCATTTCTTCCGAGTGCAAACATGCAGGGAGAAAATTGGGAGAGCCGTTTATGTCTGTGCGAAGAATTTTGAGCTGAGGATGACACCTTTAGCCCAAGCTGGCAGTTGGGGGCCAATGCTTATACATTGCAGTGCTTGAGGGGTTATTTATGGTCGTCGGTTCTCAAAAGAGCTAGCCAGGGTAGAGTAGATTTACCAGCTGACCTTAGCCAAGCTTAATTGTTCTGGGATTACTGAAATTATTTTGCGGAGATCAGTATTTTTTATTTGTACTTTTGAAACCATTACGTGGAGTTTGCTTCAGACCTCTTTGCTTGCTGAAGTCTGTTAAGTCACTTGTTTTTCTCTCAGACCGTTGACCTGCGATGCTGCATGCTGGGGAAAGTTTGTTTAAGCACAGGGTTGGCTTACAGTTTCAGAGGTCAGTGTCACAGGGCTGGACAGTCCACATGACCTAGGACCTTGCAGTCCAGGTGGGCGCAGCCAAACCCAGCACTAAACAAGTGAGTGAATGAATGACCACGGGAGTAAGAGAAGGTATAGGTTAATGATACTCCATGTTCAAAAATAGTAGCAGTTCTTGATCTGGCCTGTACTTCAGGCTTTGATACAAATGGTGCGCGTGTGTTGTGCATAGTAGATTTGTTTTGGTAATGATTATTTTAATCTCAGTGAACAAAGTAGGTGTAGATGCAGGAAACTCTTGATAAAGCCAGTTACTTTTATAATATCCCCAAAGTTATAGCTGGAGTATTTCTAAAGCACTCTTTGTTGGAGACTAGCATAGAAGACTGACAGCAGGAGGAGCTTGTTCAGCCCTAGTGGTAATAAAAAGACAAAGAGAAGCTGTGAGCAGAGGTTCTAGTATAGGATAGGAAGTGTAATGCATAATTTTCTTTTTACATGTTCTTTGTACAATAGTCAGTTCTCGTCATTAGTGTTTGAAAGTGCTGTGAGAAGCCATGTAGTAATTTTGAAAACTGGAAGCTCCCATCCTTGATTCGTCCATCCCCAGCTGTCCCCTGTGGCTAGGCTTGGGCCCAGGACCATAGCTGGAAATCTGCCGGCCAATCCAGGTCTCCCTCCTGAGTGGCAAGGACCCAGGGACTTGAGCTACAGGGTCTATTTTGGCAGGAAGCCAGAACTGGCAACTGGACTTGGGATCAAATCGAAGCACTTAACAAGAGGTGTCTTAACCTAATACCCACCCTGTCATGATTTCCAGTGGCTAGCAAACGCTAAATTGTTCTTGACTAAATTGAGAATTTCTTGGAATTGAAAAGTGTGTGTTTTATAATGAATTGAAAAATTCTAGGGATGAGCAGTTTTGATATTATGTTAAAGTATAATTTTGCTTGTCACCTAGGAAAACCTAAGTAGATGGCTGAAAATTATGAGTTTTTTGTTTTAAAAAATGTAACTTCAGTCATATAAAAGTGACTTTTGTACCCTTTCCCCCTCAAATCCTTTATTCAGTTTATGATCAGCTGTTGAAAATAGCATTGTCAAATCTTGTGTCTTGAGGTTGCATAACACATGAATTAATATGTATTTGTGAACAATCAGGTTTTCCTTAAGTTCTTACTGTGATAGCAGAAAAGCTCTGAAAGGCATGCTTTGGAAAGCATGGAATTACTAGGCCAAAAGACTATTGTAATAAGTGATCAATAAGAGAGCCTGTTTCAGAGTATTATTATATAATGGAGTTGTATAGATCTTTCATTACCTGCAAAAGAAAAGAGTGAAACTAAATATTTTTGAGGCAAGCTTGCGCAGCACAATGTTTGAGTAGCCAGCAGAGTGAAGTCTGATTACTTTTAAGGCCAAGCAATGTGGTGTGTTTTTGTGGTCTTCTAGGAAACTAACCTCTGTCTCATTGGAAGTTACTTTGTCCTTTGGCTGAAGGATTGCCTACTCCTGACCACTCTACTGCAAACCATAGTAAAATATTAATAAAGGAAAAGCTTAATAAAATAGCTCTGACTGCAAGGAAAAAACTGGTTAAGAGCCCATGGATTCTGTATTTGTGAATTCTGCTACTACTCTATATAAGTTTATTTGTGTCCTCTTCCTTGCGACATGGACATGGGCCTGTTGGTAAAGGATCTGGGTCCGCAGATGCACATGTCCCCAGCTAAAGTCTGCTGCCAACATGATACTGTGCCTTGTTTCGGCACTGGTAGGGGCTTCACAGAACGTTGTTGCCGTGAATACCAAGAGTTGATTATACTTAGCACCTTAGTAAAGCTCAGCTTACAGATGACTGTCATGTGCTGTGGGAGTTACTGCGTCTTAGAGTTGTTTAATATAGACCTTGGAGTGCTAAAGTTAATTTGTGGTTAAATGTTATTGAAATAACATTTCATTCAGTAATGTTATTGAAATAACATTAAAGTAGAATTCATCTTCTCTTTAGAAGTAGGGGCTGGTGCATTGGCTGAACTGGCTCATCCTCTACCTCCAAGCACAGGCGTCCCATGTGGGAGCCAGTTTGTGTCTTGGTTGCTCCATTTCCTAGCCAGCTCCCTGCTAATTTACCTGGGAAACCAGCGGAGGATGGCCCAAAGCCTGCACCCACGTGGGAGACCCAGAAGAAACTCCTGGTTCCTGGCTTCAGATCGGCTCAGCTCCGGTCATTTGAGGAGTAAACCAGCAGATACAAGATCTTTCTCTCCTCTCTGTGAAATTTGCCTTTGCAAAGAAAATAAATAAATCTTAAAAAACAAGTGATAATGCGTGTTGTGTGTGATAGTTTTTAGCTGCCTTATATTAGTCTAAAAGATTTTCCTGGTGAAATAAACACCGAATATATAAGTAGAAGTGTTATAGGTTTTTTTTTTCCCCCATAGAAGTGTTATAGGTTTTTTTTTTTCCCCTTTTAAATTTGTGAGGTTTTTGAATAAGGGAAATAAAATGAAAGCCTAGGGAAAATAAAACAGAAATAAGATTACAGAAGATAAGGTGAAGTAAACATAGCTAATGGCATCATGATCTTGTGAATTTAATGAAATTGATGTTCTACATTATAGGAATCAACATGAAATGGAAGGAAAGAGTTCATGACTGAAAAATAGTAGCAAAGCAGCTAATAAGATAATATACAAAGAGAGGAGAAGGCAAGTTGTATTGGTCTTCCTGCCTTCCAAATCAGCTTTAAGAATTGTTAAGTCGATGCATGGTGCACTCAGAAGACTATGGAACGTTCTAGGCAAGAACGCCCCACATAGATGGTGAGCCAGGCTGTTGGGTGCCGTGCCCCCCCACCCCCCATAGCAGCAAATCTTAAAGCAAGGCCTCAGATAACAGTGAGCAAAAGATGTTGCTGGTAGTGTTCAGGTGTAGTTGTCTGCAGGGAAAGTGATTTACAAGTCAGGCTGCAGTGCTATTGTGTCCTCTGAAGATCATAAACAAAACAGTTGTTTGAAAAAAAAATACCTTGTCACTGTTAAGCTAATTGGATTCCTGTGATGTTAACCCATTATCATTGAGCCACAATGATTAATATTACCGTATATACTAATAGTACTGTGTACCAGCCATTATGGTACATGCTTTTTTTTTTTATTTATTAAGATTTACTTTTGTTTGAAAAACAGAGTTAGAGGAGAGACAGAGTTGACATTTGCTTATTTACTCCCCATATAGCCACAATGGCCAAACTCGGCTAGGCTGCTGAAGCCAGGAGCTTCTTCTGAGTCTCAACGTGTGTACAGGGGCCAGAGCACATGGGCCATCCTCCACTGCTTTCCCAGGTGCCTTAGCAGGGAGCTGTATGGGAAGTGGAGCAGCCAGGACATGAACTGGTGCCCACTTGGGATGTTGGCATACGGGTGGTGGCCTCACCTGCTGTGTCCTAGTGTTTGCTCCAGTACATGCTTTAAGTTTCATACAGACTAATTTCACCCACCTTTTGGATACCTGAATACCACAGGTTTTTCATTTGGGTTTTTTATAGTAGGCACTATCTACAGATCATGTAGTTGAGACACTCATAGCTTTATAGTCCACTGATGCCCCCTCTTTTTTTTTTTAAAGATGTATTTATTTATATGAAAGGCAGGTTTATAGATAAAAGGAGAGACAGAGATCTTCCATCCACTGGTTCACTCTGCAAATCCTGAAAATTCCTGCAGGTCTCTCACATGGGTGTAGGGGCCTCCATGTGGGATTTAGGGCATCCTCCACTGTTTTCCCAGTCCGTAAGTAGAGTTAGATCAAAAGTGGACAAGAACAGGCATCCATATGGGACAAGCTGGCAGATGAAGGATTAACTTGTTGAGCCACCATGCCAGGTTCTGCCCTTTCCTTCTGATCTAAGTCATTAAGGTTTCAAGGGTCATCTGGGAGTGGTTTATATTTGTTAGTATTTGGTCATGCTTTAATTGATTTGCCAAGTGTAGATTCATCGATGCTGTTTAGTCCTTTCTGCGATGAGACACTGGGGAAAAAATAAAACCTCAAGATTTTAACCTTTTTAGTAAGGGACTTGGGGAAATACAAGAAGAATTGATTTTTTTTCCTGTTTTTGAAATTTCATGTGTTTTCCCCCCACAGTAGATTGTCAGTGTGGAATTGTATGATGTCATGTGTGTTTGTGATTCACTCCAAGTCTTCATCGTAGACTCCACTTTTTTGCAGATTGACCCTGCCTCAGACCCAGCAGTTTGATTCCTGTGTGGCCAGTGTTCTCAAGTTGGTCAAAGCTGCGGAGTTGCATCAGGAAATGGATTACTTCTTGTGAGAATTCCATTTCTCCATGTAAGTTGAATTCAGGATTAGTGTGCCATGGTTTATGTGTTTAATTATGGAGAGTTGTCGAACTGCTTTGGGTGTGCAATAGACTTTTCTTGTCTTTGGAAACACTCTTGAGTTTCTTGGCTGTCTCTGTAGGCCCCAAAGTTTGAGTTAAGTCCCTCACTCATGATGTTTTTGGTACTGGAGTCCCAAGTGAAGGGCCCCTGCACATAAGGCTGTAGCCATGTCACCTTTGAACTCGTGGCTGATTATTCATATTGACATGACACCGTTCACTCTGACTTTTTGAAAGACGTTCAGTGTGAATAATATGTGAGCACTAGTCTGAAAAGAATGCATGTAGAATACATGTAAGAGAGCACATGACATACCCTTGTTCTGTAGGTTGTTATGTTATTTAAATGTTTTATCGGCAAAAATTCTTCCATTCTAGTTTCCTGTTGTGAATTCTGCAATACACTTATGAGAAATGTGATAAGCTACCAGTGTGTTCATACATCTGAAGTGAAATTAAATGAGTACTGTCCAGCTTTTGCCAATTATAAGCAAATGGCATTCCAGATCCACATATTCTTTATGTGTTACAAACCCAAGAAGCAGTTTTTCATTACAACATTCATCAAAGGAAAAGAAATAATAATTGGATTTAGTGTGGGGGGGTTTTCCCAAAAGCATCCGTTATGTGATACCTTCTAAATAAAGTTTCTGTGAGTTACCTGTATTTTAAGTCCTTAATTTTCCAATGTCTTGAAAGTTGAGAAGATATTGTTTAAAAGGAAGATATACAGTGTCTGAGAATCTGAGTTGGAACACTCTTATTTTTAGAATTTTTAATGATACTATTTTCCATGATATGATTTTGTAGGTACAGGGATTCCTCTCTCCACTTGCCATTTCTCCCTCCTCATTCTCTGCCCCCTAACATTTTCCTCTATATTATTACAATAGTATAGTCCCTCAGCAACAGTCACAGGTCCAGCATTCTGTTTTTTAAGTATATTATGGCATTGTAGAATTGTGGAAACACTAATATTGTCAAGCTGTATTTATCAGTTTCATGGGGTATCCTTTCACTTGGGAGTAAAGATGCATAGTGCACCATATCTTCACTTCTTCATATGCTAATCTCCATTTTACTATTCATCTATGAGAATATATGTATATGTATGGTTACTTATGTATCTATTTGTATTTTGTGTGAATGTTTCCTTATATCAGAAAGAACATATGATATTTTTGCTTTTGGGATTGGCTTATTTCCTTGAGCATATTGGTCTGCACTTGGGACCATTTGGGTGTAAATATTATAATTTCATTCTTTATAATGGCTGAGTAGTATTCCATGGCGTAGATGTACTGTACTTTCTTTATCCATTCCTCTTTCACTGGGCATCTGGGTTGTTAGAATACTCTTTTAAGTGTCCTACATGTTTGGAAGATTTTAAAGTTTATGTATTGTGGGCTTGGTTCTGTTGTTCCTGTTATGATTTTTAACAGTATGTTGAAACGAGTAACCAAATGTCTTTTTTGTTGTTGTTTCTATGTCTTGCATAGTGCTAAGGCCAGTTCTTGGGTTGGCACGGGCAGAAAAGTGAAAATGAGGATGCTCCACTTCACCCAGTGCCAGTGGCTGAAGCGGATAGCATGGGGATGTTTTTCCAATGTGCAAGTCAAAACAAGTCGACACACACAACTGCTTCTCTCAAGATCCCTGCTGCTGGCAGAACCTGGGAAGTCATGGCATTCCACACATTCTCTTGTGGGAAACAAAAACATTGTCCTAATGGGACCTCCTGGGGCCGGAAAGACAACCGTGGGCAGAATAATTGGTCAGAGGCTAGGGTGTTGTGTCATAGATGTGGACGATGACATCCTCGAGAAAACCTGGAACATGAGTGTGTCTGAGAAACTGCAGGATGTGGGTAATGAGCGGTTTTTAGAAGAGGAGGGAAAAGCTGTGTTAAGCCTCTCTGCCTCTGGAAGTGTGATTTCCCTGACCGGGTCCAATCCCATGCATGATGCCAGCATGTGGCACCTGAAGAAAAACGGGATAGTTGTGTACCTGGATGTGCCGCTCCTAGATATCCTTAGCCGTCTGAAGTTACTGAGGATCGATCGGATCGTGGGTCAGGATTCTGGGATGTCCATGAAAGACTTGCTGCAGTTTCGCAGGCAGTACTACAAGAAGTGGTATGACACCCGTGTGTTCTGTGAAAGTGAGGCCACCCCGGAGGAGGTTGCCGATAAAGTGCTAAATGCAGTGCAAAGGTACCAAGAAACAGACTCAGAACCCTTCATCTCCACAAGGCATATTGGTCCCAGAGATGGCGAGCAGGGGTCAGCAAAGTTCTTCAGCGAAGCTGTGGTTGAGGGGTTAGCACCTGATGGTGGACTCTTCGTCCCAGAAAAGGCTTTCCCAATGCTGAGCAGTGGAGAGTGGAGAAGACTGGTGGGAGCCAGTTACATGGAGAGAGCTCAGATCCTTCTGGAAAGGTGTATCCATCCCATGGATATCCCTGCCGCCAGACTGGGAGAGATGATTGAGACCGCCTATGGGGCCAGCTTCGCCTGCACCAAGGTTGCCCCCATCCGGCACCTTGTGGGCAACCAATTCCTCCTGGAGCTGTTCCACGGGCCCACGGGCTCCTTCAAGGACCTTTCTCTGCAACTCATGCCACATCTGTTTGCTCACTGCATCCCACCTGGCTGCAACTACATGATTCTGGTAGCAACCTCAGGAGACACTGGGAGTGCAGTCCTGGATGGTTTCAGTCGTCTTAGTAAGAGTGACCAACAGAGAATAGGTGTGGTCACATTTTTCCCTGAGGGGGGAGTAAGTGACTTTCAGAAAGCACAAATCATTGGCAGTCAGCGGGAAAATGGGTGGGCAGTGGGAGTGCAGTCAGATTTTGATTTTTGCCAGACGGCCGTCAAAAGAATGTTTAATGATTCAGATTTTACTGGCTTTCTCACTGTGGAATACGGAACAATGTTAAGCTCGGCCAATTCCATAAACTGGGGCCGACTGCTCCCCCAGGTCGTCTATCATGCCTCAGCGTACTTGGACCTTGTTAGCCAAGGATTCATCACCTTCGGAAGCCCTGTTGACGTCTGTATCCCCACAGGAAACTTCGGCAACTTGTTGGCAGCTGTGTATGCCAAAAAGATGGGGCTCCCCATCCGGAAGTTTATCTGTGCCTCTAATCAGAACCACGTTCTGACTGATTTCATCAGAACCGGACATTATGACCTGCGGGAAAGGAAGCTGGCGCAAACCTTCTCTCCCTCAATTGACATTCTCAAGTCTTCAAATCTGGAGCGCCATTTACACTTGATGGCTAATAAAGATGGGCAACTGATGACAAAGTTATTCAGCCAGTTGGAAAAGCAGCATCACTTCCAGATAGAAGAGATGCTGATGAAGAAACTTCAGCAGGACTTTGTGGCCGACTGGTGCTCCGAGGAGGAGTGCCTGGCGGCCATCGGCTCGACCTATGCCTCCTCGGGCTACATCCTGGACCCACACACTGCTGTTGCAAAGGTGGTTGCTGACAGACTACAGGACAAAACTTGCCCAGTGATCATTGCCTCCACGGCCCATTACTCCAAGTTCACACCCGCTATCCTGCAGGCTCTGAAGATTAAAGGCATCAACCATTCTTCATCGAGCCAGCTTTATTTGCTGGGTTCCTACAATGCATTACCTCCCCCACACGAGGCACTGTTAGCCAGAATGAAGCAGCAGGAGAAAGGAGAATATCAGGTCTGTGCAGCTGACGTGGAGGTCCTCAAGGGTTACGTGGAGGAAAGAATCCAGCATCAGTTCATGTGAAAGTTTCCTGAAGTTAGTTTTTGAATTGTGTTTTTTTTTTCTTCCTGGTGATCAGCATGCAATAATAAACCTCAGAAGCTGTTTTGAAGTCCAGTAGCATTTTGTTTCATATGGTGGTGTCCATGCCTTACCTGTTCGCTACCTTTTGAAATTTCAGCAACGTCACCTCAGGATTCAGCGTGACACCCGCTTTGATCCTCCTCAGATCTGTAATCCAGAAGTGGCAGAGTGTGTGGACCCTGTGCTGTCGTGCCCTCTGCACATGATGTTCTACTCCCTTATCACCTTTTTTTTTTTTAAGTGGATCAAATGTCTGGTATTTAGTCTGGCAATGAAAAAGGCTAAGTGTGGTTGATGAGTACTGTATCTGTAACTGTAGATTAATTCTCTCTTGACTAGAAAGTTAGTTTACCAGTCAAAATGACTGCTAATATTTTTGAACACTTCTCAAATTCCATTTTAGTCGACAGTGATTTGTATCCCACACTGTTCAAATTGCTTCAGTGTTCTGTCCTTCACTATCTGTTGGGTTCTTAGCAGGAGTGGGCCAGCAGATCAAAGCACTCCTATTGTCTCTCCTCTCCCTGTAACTCTGCCTTGCCAACACGAGTTATCTTTCTTGTGAAAAAAGTTTAATGGCATGTTAAATAGGAGCAGTTGGCTTAGAAGAACTTAAAAGTCAAACCATTAATGTGTTAACATAAGACCTCCAACCTGGCTTTTGAAAAAACTAAGTTCTAAAACCAAAAACTGAAAAAGCCAGGGCATTTAGAACACAATGGAAGATTCAAAGTTCTATACCCATTCCTGGATGTCTGGCATAGTTTTGCTTGCTTTGGTAAATGCTGTTTTTAGAAAAGGCATCTAAATGTACCTTGTGTGTATGTTTTTTAAGTGTTTGGGAGCTGCAGTTAATGAGGAAACACATGAGCGTTAAATCATGAAGACAAAAGAGTGACTCCAAAATAGTGGATGACTAAGTGGGAAATGAAAAATGCAGTCAAGTATTTCAGGGTCAGATCAGAAAGGATTTCCATGAAATCCTCCAGAAAGGTTCCAGAGATGACACAGGACCTGAGGGGCCGTCTGGGAGGACAGGAAGGAAGAGGGGAAACCTTGCGAGCAGAGGCAAGGAAATCTAGAAAGGGGAATGCCCAAGAGCCCACCTGCCTGTCTGAGATCTGTTTGTCATGTCACTCTAAAACAGTTATAGCATGTTTGCATGCTCTCTCACAACCCATTGCAGCCCTCAGCTCTCAGCTAATGACTTCCTCTCAGGAGAAGCAAATCACGATCTCTGCCATCCCTCCACTCTCTGAGTGACTCCTTCTCTTACCTGCACCTGGGTCATCTCAGATGTACCCTTCAGCCTACTTGGCTCCTCAGTGTCTTCCTGCCAAGGAACCTGGCTCTCCAGAAGCATTGAAATAGCCTATTCTAACCTGAAGATGCATAACAGCAAGATCCATCTGAACTACCTTTTTTTGCAGTTTTTTATCCTCCAAACTCCAGCTCTTTGAAGAGTTGCTACCACAAGCTCTCCACTCCCATTTTCTCTTGTGTGTCAGATGTAATAGTTGAAAGATGAGTAGTGATTACCAAGTCCTCGCCCGCTCTGTTAGAACATCACACATGCTTCTCCGATTCCAAGCATTTCTTTTTTTTTTTAAGATTTATTTTATTTTTATTACAAAGTCAGATATACAGAGAGGAGAGATAGAGAGGAAGATCTTCCGTCTGATGATTCATTCCCCAAGTGAGCGCAACGGCCAGTCTGTGCCGATCCAGAGTCAGAAGCCAGGAACTTCTAGGTCTCCCACGTGGGTGCAGGGTCCCAAAGCATTGGGCTGTCCTCAGCTGCTTTCCCAGGCCACAAGCAGGGAGGTGGATGGGAAGTGGAGCTGCTGAGATTAGAACCGGCACCCATATGGGATCCCGGGGCACGTTCAAGGCGAGGACTTTAGCCACTAGGCCTCGGTGCTGGGCCCCCAATCACTTCTTTCCCTCCACAGGTAACCACTTTCCCACATTTTTCTATTCACCAGTTCCTTTTTAACAGTTTGGCTTTGTTTATTTTCAACTCTAAATTTTGTGTAAGTGAAGTCATACTGTATTATTCTAAGATTCATATCTTTTTTTCTCACAAAAATTCATCTGTCTAGATTAATTAAGCCACAGTTTCACTTTTTTAAAGATATATTTTTATTTTATTTGAAAGCCAGAGCCACAGAAAGAGGGAGAGACAGATCTTCCATCTGCTAGTTTCATACCCAAACAGCTGCAACAACCAAAGCTGAGAGCCAGGAGCTTCTACTCCCATGTGGGTATAGGGACACGTGGCTCTGGGCCATCCTCCATTGCTTTCCCATTTTGTTAGCAGGAAGTTGGATGGGAAGTAGAGCAGCCAGGACACGAACTGGCATCCTTGTGGGATGTCTGCACCACAGGTAGAGAATTAACCTAATATGTTACCATGCTAGTTCTAGAGTTCATTTTTGAAAATGAATATGTAATTTTTGTATGATATTATATTTATTGGCTAGTTGATGTATTAACTAATTTTTATCTTGAGTGCGGTAGATACAATGTTTTTAACATTTGTGTTGAAAGTTGGTGAATATGTACTTTTCAACATTTGTGATTCTAATAATGAAAAACTGGTTGCCCCATATCTTGACATTTTAGTGTGTGGGTTTATGAAATAAGCTTAGTCTCAGGCTGTGACAAATTTCTTCTTTAGTTATTTTATGTTATGAATTTGTAAAGTTTGAGAATAAATTTTTATGTTAAGTATTTTGGAACTGATAAAATGCATTTCCATCAAGACAGAGATAGATACAATAATCTGCTTTGTGTGAGATTTTAGAGTGTAATAATAGCAATCCACTTTCAGAAAAATCCTTCACAGCAAATATTGCTTCTTTCAATCCATCAGGTCATTTACAAACACCTAATAATTCACACCACTTAAGCCAAACAAAGCAATTGTTTTCATTCCAACTTGTGAAGAGTTTGGGCCTTGGGCTTGGGGGCCTCTGACGCTCCCTGCAGTGTGGCGACTGTGGGGGGTGCCCCTGCCAGGTCAGACCCAATGCTGGGGTCTCACGCCAAAGACACTGCCGCAAGGCAGTGAACGAGTCCTCGGCCTCCCCCAGGGTGGCCAGTGCACCAAGTGGTGCTAGGCTTTGTGTGCTGGCCGCCCGGCAGGGCGAACTCTGGCATTTTCAACATATGTAGTTGCTGCCTGTGGTCACTCATGACTAAGACTAGTTTGAGTGTAGGTGCGAAGTGAATTTTCGGGTATTCTCAGTGACAGGGTCATGAAAGATTTAAGCATGCGAGGGGACCAAGACCTGGTGGGTTGGAGTGAAGTATCCAGAAGATAATATTAGAAAGACAGATGCAACAGCTCAATTATGAATACAGAGATGGGATATTAGTATAGAACATCACTGATCGCCACACACTAGCCCACACCAAAGCTATGGATGGGGGCCTCTTTGGCAGTGTTGGGTACCATTGCCCAACTGAGTGTTGGAGTTGTGGAGTGGTCACATTTCACAGGATCAAGACACTATCCAGCACTCGAGAGAACTTGGGCTGGGGGTAGACTCTGTGGGGTTGTGTGGGCCCAACCCTCTGGAATACAAGTCCCCCGGGTTAGCTCGCAAGCTGGGGTTGCAATGGTCTAAGCTAGGTGTGACCATGCCACCTGCCATCACTCATGGGTAAAGGAACCCACAACAGTCAGGGTAGGTTGAGGCAGCAGCACCCAAATGTGCATCTTTAAACAGGATGTGGGGTGGGCCGGGCTGCCACTGGAAGGGGGCAGAATGGGCAGGGCTGAACAAACCTTAACTCACAAGAAACAACAGAAATCAGGCTGGAGCACAGCTCATGCCATGTAGGTCCTTGCATATACTGATCTGTGTGAGGCAGAGGCACTAAGCCACAGCATCCAAGGGGCCAGGACAAGTGAGGGGCTCTGCCAAGCGGAGACAGAACCACCACCGGCCTGCACCTGATCTAAGGCAGGGAAGAGGCCCGGTTGGGGAAATAACAGGACACCCTAGCTGGGTTGAGTTTCCCACCAAGGAGCGCATGGGCTGGAACTGAGGCTGCATTCTGATCAGGATACGATTGTAATCTCACTTGGCACAAGTGTGGACTGGGACTGGAAGCACCAAGCCAGGCCAGATTCCAACACTATCTGGTGTTCTGGAGGACCGGGGAGAGATGTGTGACAGACTAGGCTAGGTCTCAGCCCTTACTGAACCATGTGTGAGCTGTGTGGGGGTATGGAAGAGCTGTGGCTGGGTTGAAATATCCAACAACAAGAACCAACTTGGGTCGAAGGCCAGTCAGGAAAAACCACTGTTCCTTTTAGGACAGGAGGTGAACTGAGTAGTGCTGGCTCCTGGACCAACTGGTATGCGCAAAAACTGGCAGTGGGAGAGGTTCTGGTGGAGGAGCCTGGGCAACTTCTCTGGCTGGACACAGTCCCCTGCTTGCAGGCAAGCGCAAGAAGCACAATAGGGAACAACCCAGAACAGGCAATGGAAATTATCCCACTGGCATACACATGGCATGGGTTGGGGGCAGACCAGGCTAAACCTGTTCACATTACCTTCTGGTGAATCCGAGCACCAGAACAGAGTGCGGGTCGAGCCAGGTTCGTTTGCAACACATCAGTACACAACAAGTAATGCCAAGGTGAGATGAGCTGTACCAGATGTGGTTGCAGCGCACAAACAGCACATGTGACAATCAGGTAGGAGGCAAAGCCGACAGGGGAACGTGGGCACCCCTGCTGGATAACTACTTCCATTGGAAAGCATGAATTGGGATGGGGGAAGTTCAGACTAGGCAGGGCTATAGCACCTGTGGGTCTCACGGTGAGCTGACTATTCTGACTTGTGCAAGTAAAATTAGAGTGGGTTGAGGGGTGTTTGGGCTTAGCCACAGCATTAGCTGGCAGAGGCTGGTACTGGGAGCTAATTCTGTCA